TCATTAGATGATGGTATAAAAAAAGAGACCTAAAGAGGCATATAGATGATTTTAAAAGTATCTTATGGTAGTTTAAAGTTTTTTCGTGTAATCAAGAGGATAAGGGTTAAGGTTGTCATGGATATTCTTAAAAACTAAACTATTTTTATTATTAATATATTAAATGGTTTCTTATATAGTTTGCCATTTACTGCCAGACCATTAACCCATTTCTGTGTTCTCCATTTTTTTTGTTAGAAAGATTCTCCATGGTCTCAACCAATTTCCTTTTATGTTTCTCAGAGGTATTGAAATGGTGGATTCACCATTTTAGGTCTGAGCCAGCAGTGCAATTATTACATTCATCTGCTGTCCAGCTTAATTTTTTTTATGCGCTGCAATGTAAGAGGAGAGCTATTCTCACTTTTCTCCTATTTTAGCGCATATTGTGCATTTTTTTATACAATGAAAATTAAGAATTGAATTCACTCTTTTCCATCAGTATAGAGACATCCAGATATAAACTACATATTATTACTGGGATTTTAGAATTCTAGTAATTACTCCCATCTTCTTAAATCTGCTTCCATAGATTTATCAGTTCTGTAGAGATAGTTCCCCTGGAAAAGAGTGGATGCAGATGCATTAACATTTCAAATCCTTCTGGAATTGGATTTAGGTAAAAGAGAGATGGAGATGACATCTTCTTTTGCCAATACAACTTTAGAGAACATAGGAGGGGGGTTGTGGAATTATACAGCTAACCCTTTCCAATACTGATGCATATCGTGGCTGCACATATATCATATGTTCCTTTAGTCAACACATATAATGATACATACATACATAGATCCTTGTATGAGAGGGGATTCTGATTTGGCCAACTTCTTTCACAACATGTGGAATTCTTGATATATATTAATGTTTATAGACAAACTATTTCATCATGCTATCTAAACATATTAGAATAATTTCTGCTTGAGTTTATAGTTATATGTGATTATTGCATACATATTTGGAGTTGAGATAGATTCTATGCCCCTCTCTTCTTCAGAGAGTTGGAAGAAAGGGTGAACCACTTTAATATCCATTTTGCTTCAGAGATATTTTTCAAGCATCGCTTTCCTTTTGTGGATTTATTTTTCAAATAGACTCTTACCATTCTTCTTCCAAGGCTATTTAAATTAGGTTGGAGGGTTTAAATATATTCCATGTTAGAAATTTTAGATTAAAATTACTCTATTACACTTCATTTGGCACAAACCTGAGTTAAACAGGTGCAGTATAAAATTGAGTTGGGGCCATTTTATACATGCCTTTGTGAGAGAATGCATAATGTGAAAAATCTTTTTTTCTTAAAAATTCTGGCAATGCATAAAAGGATTTCAGAGAGAAGAGCGAGATGATATCACTAGTTTGGCATTTGGTTAGCTAATGTTGTAATCATATTTCTTACAGATGAAAATAAAAATGGTATATCTATTTGGAAAAAAATTAAGTGAAGTTGCAAAATATAATTTCTGAATAGGATTCTATGTTTTACAACTCATCATTAAACTTGTTTGCTTTGTTTAACATAAAATTCATTTGGAGAAAAGGGGATATTCCTATTCAAACAATGGACAGCTTCTTTAGCTATATAATAATTATTCCCATGAAAAACATGACATTTTAGCCAGACCTGTTAATCAAGCTATAATACAGGTCTAGCTCTAAATTCATGTCCCAGAAGTTGCTCATCTAGGAAGTTGCTGGCATGGAAGTGATGTTGCAGGAAGAGATCAATAATGAGTGTGTTCCATTTTCAAACACTGTTGCAAGGAGGTGATATAACCAGTGCTTTTTTTGTAAAAAAAAAAAAAAAAAAGGTGCCCGAACTCACACACATCATACAACCCGCCTTGCCTACCCTATAAGGTTCCATCCAAAAAAGGTGCCGGAACTCCGTTCTGGGCATTCTATGAGAAAAAAAGCCCTGGATATAGCTATTCAGTGAATCCAGTTCTGTCCCTATAATTGGTAGATCCATACGTAGTCCATGGAGGACCATGAAGCTGGAGAAGAGTAGGCAAAATGGCATTCCATCAACCAAAGCAATAAAAATGATAAGAAGGACTGCTTCGCTTTTGGCAGAAGCAGTGCCAAAGTTGTAATTCATTCAGTGGTGACTTAACGAGCAACAAACAGCTGGCAGCATGTTCTGTTCTCTTTCCCTAAAGGCATCTTGTACTAGTTTTCTCATTTTGATGAAAATAGCATCATATTGTCATCAAAAACTCCACCCTTTTCAAAAATGATGTAAGTACAAATTGGGCAGGATGTACATTGTATGTCACAACACGGAACTTTGTCATTTGCCTTCCCCTATTCCTGGGCAGGGATCCCTGATTAGCACTTTTTTAAAAAAATCAAAACTGCATGTACATGAAGCTCATCTAAGAGCTGACAAAGATGTTTAGAAAATGGCAGTCAGGAATCAAACAAGCAGATGCCTCTGTGGAAGTCAGTGCTTTCAGGACATGACATAAATAAACCATTACCAGGGCATATTTATGTCACAGTTAATGGGACTTGAAGACAAGCCCTAAATCTTTCTTTATTGTCCTAAATCCAATCTATTACTCTGCTTAGGCACTAGTAGTCTAAAAGACTGCCAGCCTCGGCTATATTCATGAAAAAGGAATGGGTGTCACCCTGATATTTGCAGTGCATGAAATCTAAAGCCTCTCATAATCTACCTGAGAATTCTCCTCTATAGCCTACCTTCACTAGAACTTCTATTGATACTCCTTCCTTTCATGTCAAAGGGTATGCAGGCTCTACACTCTTCCAGAGACAATATAATTGTGTCTTACGAATGCTTTTGAAAGAATTGTTTAAAAATTGCTTTAGATCACAAATAATGGGTTCAAATTTATCCACAATGTGGTTACTTCGGCGACTGGTTTCAGTACATTCCGTGTATCCAGAATTTTTCTTTCAAATCCAGACATGAAACTGAGAGTTTAGTTCCATTTTAAACTCTTATATAGACTTTCACAATTTAATTTATCTTGCCATACCAGATGAGGTCAAACCATTTATCTCTCTCTATTGTAATGTAACAAATGGAAGGCAAAAATAAATAACTAAATGGTCACCCTTTTGGGTCTTCAGTTTTCCCAGATGAAACCTTATTATGATCCAGATGCAAAATAAGTCTAATGTCATGCATATCTCTCTCCATTTTTATCTATGTCATGGTAATAATAATATTAAGGTTACAATAAAATTTAGAAGCTTCCTAGTCAAATTAAATATTTAAACAGGTTTGTAGATTTACCCAGATATAGAAATATGCATATTCTTAATTTCATGCATATTTTATGGGCAAATATGGAACTATGGAAATAAAAATGATGGGGTCAGCTTTTGTTTCTAGAAATACTCCTACTTTTACACTAACACCTAATCTTTGTTAAAGCAGGAAAGAGCAAAAAAAAAGCTAAGCTGAATCTCTAAAAAATGTGAGAATTCAAATTCTCAGAACCTGAATCATAGAGTCATAGAATCATAGGCTGGAAGGGGTCTCAGAAGTTTTCTAGTCCAACTCCTTGGTCAAAGCAGGAGTCTTATATCATTTGCTTGTCAGAGGTTTGCAAAAAGTGATCACATGATCCCGGGATACTGCAACTATCATAAATATGAACCAGTTGCCAAGCATCTGAATGCTGATCATGTGACTGTGGGGATGTTCCAATGGTCGTAAGTGTGAAAAATGGTAATATGTCACCTTTGTCAGTAATTTCAAATGGTCACTAAACAAACTGTTGTAAGTCGAGGACGACCTGAATGCTTTCTCTTCTCTAGCAGTTGGCCCTATGCAACCTTTGTATCCTTGGCTATGTGTTATGTTCTCAACTGCTCTATAACTCCTCCTCCCCCTATTTTCCTCACCTTTTACCAGAGCATATCTGCTTTATCCTGACACCTTAGTTTGCTGGAATCACTCAGCATTTTCTGTCACAGTTCTTCCCGCTTTAGTGGTTAGGTTTGAGATCAGTGGAAGGCTTTGTGTGAGGAAAGTGAGGATTCTGATTCTCTGTGAAAATTTAAAGCAATATCTGAATTTCAATATTAAGTGACTGAAGTTGAAATAGGTTTTGGGATAAACTGATATTGGAAACCCTAAGCCAACAATGAGCAATTCTTTTTGCCCTTAAAAAAAAATCCATTGAGTGAATTCAGGAATTATTGGAGTGGTCAGGATCAAAAAAGTGTCTTTTTGGGGGGGGGCGAAGGGGTGGATTTTTAAAAAGATTATATTCTCTTTAAACTTCTTCAAATGGAGGAAAATCAGCCCTTTTAAACTTTTTGTAGAAATTAAGACATCTATGATATTCTTTGGGTCCTTCTCCACACAGTTTCAGAATTGGGACAAATATTTTGGCCCTGCACACTTTGGAAACCACCTTGGATTGCCCACTTCTGTCCTAGACATCATTCCCATAAACAGCCAGCAGGCACAATCAAATTCTACCTTCTTTTCTTGTACAGGGATGGGGAAGCAGGCAGATTGGTTGGTTGATAGGCAGTGGAGAAGGTTCGGTTGGTGCCGTCGGCAACCCTATTTGTGACTAAAGTGTGAGAAAATTCCTGTCATCTTTACTAATTTGTTGTAGGTCCCCCTAGCCAACCAAAGGAGTACTTTTAAAAGTATTCCTATACCACCATGGTTCCCATTCTGTCTTTCATTTGTTCTTTATTATAATGCCATCTGAAACTCGGAACTGCTAGACAATAGGCCAGCCTTGACTCTCAGGAGGAGTCAAACAATTTGGCTAAAGAGATTAAATAAATAAAAGTAAAACTCAATTAAACCGAACTAAGAGGATAGAGGACAGAGAAAAAAATTAAAGGAACAGAGAAATCAAAATGGGAGGACAATATTGACTAACCAGTTTTAATTTTAATAAAATATAATTTCACCCTTTCTATTTTATTTCTGTATTTTCAGGGAAATAAGACATTATTTTCCTTACCTTTGAAACCATTGTTCTTCTGTGGCTGTCATATTCAATTTTCCGTGTAGAGACAGACTCTTGTGAAATATATGCAACAGTTCCTCTTTGTTCAGCTCATTTTTGGTATTACCATTTTTGAGTGAGCCTTTGCGTTCTAAAAAAAGTGTTTATAAGTAAGTATTTGCAATTAAGTGGAACAAGAAAAAGATCATAGTTACGCTCACTGGGGAAGGCTGATACATATTTTTATACATTTTCCAAAATACTGAAGAAAACATAGTATATTTATCTGGGTATATTCCTACAAAAATCCCAAGCTTTAAGACCTCATTCTTTTCACAGAAAAAATTATATTGTTTGAAAGGCTTCCTCTGATTTCAGTTTTCAATATTTTTTGCTTTATGGAACAGAAAATATATATATATGATTTATAGAACTGCCTATGTCACAGCAGTGATTCTGTGACATACAAAGATTTAAACCATGAGCACAATACCTATGATGCCCTGGTTTAAACAATAACACTCAAAACAAAAAGCCACTTCACCAAGAGAACTCACTTAACTTACTAACCCAAATGCCTAGGGAATAATCAGATCTTCAGTGCTAACAGGCTTGGCGCTATGTGGATCTCTGGGAGGAGATGCTGTTCTCTGCAGATGCAGCCATGGAGAAAGCACAGCTGTAGGTCCAACAAGATGGCATTAATTGATCAAAGGGACCCGGAGTATTCCCTCCGTGCTAGAATTAGGGAGCAGGCAGAAATAGTTGGGGACAGGCAATCCCACAAATAGCCTGGTCCTATGCCTTATAGAACTTTCTAGGTAGAATTTAGCACTTTGAATTGTTTCTAGAAGCTTATTGAGAGCTACTGCAGCTCATAGAGCAGAGGTGTTATATTAGTGTATCAAGAGCACTTGTGCTGCAGCCTTCAGTATCATCTGCAGCTTTCAAATGCTCTTCAGGGAGAGCCCCATGTAAAGTTTGTTACAGTAATCCAAACAAGAGATGATTAAGGCTTCCTTGTCCAGGAATGAGAAGCATTCCTCACCTCCTGGATCCAGCTGGTTGTTTTTTATTGGAAGAATTTAATCAATCAGGAGGGACAGGGATCTAATACACAGTTGGCCAAAGTCACAGATAAAAAAAGTCCTATATACCTAATTAGGGTCAATAGGTTTAAACGATCCAAGATGACTGAGAAGACTATGCCTCAGGCAATTCCATAGACTCGTACAGCTGGATCCCTGGCTCTGAATGAACTGTTGTAAGTTGAGGACTACCTGTATTTCAAGCAGCAACTAAAGCTTCAGTCATACCCTATCAGAACCCAAGGAACAACCCCAATCTCCCTGTGGAAGTCAGTAGGGTCCATCAGATGCCAGGGTAAACCATTTGATAGGTCCTGCTTCCCTATGGGCAGGAATGATACCACAGAACTCTAGAGCCAGGAGGGAGTGATCTGTTCATGGCAAGAGACTAATGGTAACATCACCGGTTCCAGATCCCATTCCAAATGCCCTTAGTTAAAAACCAGGTCTACTGTATGTATGGCCTTTGTTGTAGTCAGGCCAAGGCTAATTTGGCTTAGGTCCACAGTAACTATGAATTGCTAAGCCAGTTCCAAGCTATACACAAGGAGGGCAAATAGTTGCCTGAAATCCACTGGAAATTTAAGATTGGGGAACTCCAGTGTCAACCAAGCCACAGACTCTAGCAGCTCCAATAAGGTGCTTGCTATGTAACCGGAAGGCTGCTATACAAGCAATACCAATAAAGGAGAATATTTGTAGCACAGGGTTGAAATGAGGCATCCTTAGTGCTCTCTGTGCTTAATTGTTTTCTTGCAGATGTCTCAGTACCCAACCTAGATAACATCATCAGTGCTAGCAACAGTGACTTCCTGTAGTACAATTTTACCAAGAGGATCTTACATTAGACCAGGGATGTTAAACTGCCAGCTCTTGATGCATCATGCGGAAGCCACGGCTACCCCATTGCCAGCAATGGGAAAACAATTCCAATACATTGCACAATGTCATGTGGCGTCACGAGTTTGACATGTCTGCATTAGTGGCCCTGACAGCTGTTACGGATTCTCAGGTAACAATTGCCATATCTCCATCCTGACTCTGGCTTTACAGCTAATGCTACACACAAAATGCGGCAGGGCACATTTCAAACAGGCAAACCCTTCCTCTAGACACAGGCAGTTTTGATGATGCAAACAACATCAGATTTCTCACCCACAATTAAATCATGGGTGAGGCTAATTTTATTACAGGCTAACTGTGTATTAAATAACAGCAGTCAGGAGCCAGTGTCTCTGCAGCCTTGATTACCAGGCCTTAGGGCAGACTACAAGGGGCTGGAAGATGCTCTCATTCAAAATATTGAGGTCACTTTCCCCAAGAACAGCCCATCTCCCTCTCCTAATCATTACCCTTGCCTGTCCTTCCTTCCCCACCCAACCAATCTTCTCTGAGCCTAGCTGCTCTACTCCTATGCCAAAGAGCATCAACATACCACCCAACGTATCAATGATACTAACAGTGACTGGTACCTGCATCAGGGATGCTTCTGCCTCACACTCAACATCCCTTTACTCAGGAACCAATTCATCTTGCAAAACCTCATGTCAATGCTACCCATGCTACCCAACCCAACTCACCCTGGACCATTCTGTTTTCACTTGGGAGGGGAGGAGCCCCACCAAATCTACAACAGCTGCAATCCTCCAAGATGGAAGAAACTGGCAAAATGGCCCCTGGTCCATGTGGTTACTCCAATGGCAGCTGCAGAACACAGGTGAATCCTCCTACTGCTCTTGTTCCCGCTGCCATCCCATGCCAAAAGCTGGAGATAAGCAGCTCTCCAAAAGCCAGATAAATCCTCCTCTGGCTTCTCACAAACAAAGAAGCTGACGCTTCCTTAACAGCTGACAACTGGAATATGTCTGGGACAATTCTAACTTAACAAGAACTCAGTTCTGAATCACTTCATTATTATCTTCTGCCCTGTTCCTATCTTCCCTCTCCACTGATACTCCAGTTCTTGAACTGACCACAGAAACTCCCTTTGGAACTGGCTGCCTTTTCCTACCTTCTTCTTTGAATCTTACGCACAAGCTTCCTGTTAGTTATTGATTTTGTGCCTTTTTCATGTGGTTACTGGCAGCCTTGATGTAGGCAGGACAATATTATTCAAAAATTCTGTCCTTGTTAAAATGAGCACTAAAGCACTAAATGTAACCTAATCTGATTCATGGGGTAAATGCACCGTGATATTTTGTATTTTAGGGCCCTTTATTAACATAGTTAATTTTGCAATTAAATATACATTTGTTGGTCATTTGTTGCATATCACTTTTATGCCTTCTTTTATGCCTTTCTAACACGAGTACAACATTCTGCAAGTAAGACTTGGTGCCTTGAAAATGTAGTACATTCTCTTGAGACGTGTCTTCATTCTTACCTTATATGCTACATAAGGTAATAAGACTCAAATGAACTTTTAAAATGAAACTAGTAAAAAGAAACTTGTTTCTCAGCTATTTTTAAAATATACACATGTATGTTCAGTTTAGCATTTGCATAATTTATTTACTGTTAAACCTGCTTTCTTTACACATAACATCTCATTCTGTAAGTCTAGAATACATTTTCATTTTACTGTATATGTTTTGTCTGTCCTTATTTTTGACCAGCAAAAGTGTAAATCCAGAATCAGCTACCCCTTTGACCTTGATACTAGGACATAGTTTATCCTGTGGCCAATTAACTATGCAATCCCAGCTAGCCTCCACCCTCCCTATGCCAAACTCGTTATTTTTTCTTCTAAAGGACAATAATTCTTCATTCAGATTTACTCTTGGCAGTAAACAACATTATTTCTCCTACTACCATCCCCCCGAAAAAAGCAGTGGCTTCCTATTGGTAGGAAAGGTGAATATAAATCACAAATAATAAATCTAAATAAATAAGATCAGAGCTCCTTTCCAAAGAAAGCAAATGCCCACTTTTGATGGTATAGTAACAGAGCCTAATTCAATTTTGTAAACAAACAATATTTCAACGTTTTCAAAATATTAGCTAAAAGATACAAAGCTCACCCATTCTTATTGTCTGTTCATTTTAGCCAACGCTGCAGGAAGTAATTCCCCATTGGTCAATGATTTAGGTCTTTTGGGGGTGGGCAGTAATCCACTGAGATTGGAAGGCTGAAACTTACTCTTTCCTAGTTTGAATAAATATTAACCGAGAGAGAGAGAGAGAGAGAGAGAGAGAGAGAGAGAGAGAGAGAGAGAGAGAGAGAGAGAGAGAGAGAGAGAGAGAGAGAGACTCACTGCCTCCTAATGAAGGCAGCGGTTCTGGAGAACGTATGGATTCCTCTTCAGCTTTTTAGGTGAACAAACACTAGTTCAACAAAGAAACAGCAGAGAGTATGCAGGACAGCAAAACTTGAAGGCTACACTCTCCATCCACTGGAGAGCAGGCTTTTCCCCCAGATAGATTGTTCTACGGTACCAGAGTCCAAAAGGGTCGTGTTGTTTTCAATTGCAATGACTCTGCTGAATGCAGGTCAGAGGCTTGGTGCAGCGAGTCTCTGGAATCCAGGTGATTCAGTGAGGAAAGCTGCATGGTTTCCTGTCAGCACACTGCTTTGACAGGATGGAGAAGATGTCTGCCTTGCACACAGAAAAGCTTATTTCATCCAAAGAGACTATATTCAGGACAGGAATAGAATATTAAGTAGTAGATTTTAGTTTTAGGCTGTCTGCTTGCAATATTGCAGTGAAAGAGATCTACACAGAGATCTGCCATAGGAATAAGGAATAAGGGCCTGGTCATTTATGACAAATGATAGAGGAAGTCTTCAGTTTATGACCATCACTGGGACCAGAATTTCTGTTGCTAAGCAAGGCAGCTGCTAAGTGGGTTTTTACAATCTTTTTTTGCTACAGTTGTTAAATGAATCACTGCAGTTGTTTAGTGAATTAATTGGTCATTAAACGAATCCGGTTTTGCCCGTTGATTTGGCATGTTGAAACTAGCTGGGAAGATTACAAATAGAGATGATTCTGAGACACTGCAACCATCATAAATACATGCCAGTTTCCAAGAGCCCAGATTTTGATTCACACGACTGTGAGGACACATTGACAGTCGTAAGCCCAAGAACTGGTCCTAACTCCCTTTTTTCAGTGCCATTGTAAATTTGAATGGTCCCTAAACCAATGAGGACTACCTATATTGTAATATGGAGCAAGATGAACCTCTGTCCCAAGGAAGGAAAAAACACTTGTCACTTCTTAGGGGGGCTCCTCTCTCTTTTGGAAAAATAATGGACTTTAAGTGGGCATCAGAGCAACACTTCTTAGCAGGAACAAAAGCATTAGTTTAGTCGTGAAGGCACCAGGCTAGAAACTAGAAAACTATGAATTCAAGTCCTGCTTTAGGCAAGAAAGCCAGCTGGATGACTTTGGGCCAGTCATTCTCACAGCCCAACCCACCTCACAGGGTTGTTGTTAGGGGGAAAATAAGAGAAGGAGAGTGTATTTGATATAATCACTACCCTGAGTTGTTTATAAAAATAATAAAGTCAAGATTTAAATAAACGAATGAATAAGTAAATCGCTTTGAATCACTGAATTGTGTACATAAATGTTAAATACAATAATTTATTTGTGATGTTGAGAAGCAGAAATCCATATGGATTTGAGTTACTTATCACCCAAGTTTTTAAAATTATATTCTATTATGCTTTTGAAGATTCATTTCTATGATACCATTTCTACTTTGGAGTAAAGATATAGGCTTCCTCATTTGTATAAAATATTCTGGTAATTTCTTTTCCTTCATTTGTGGCAGGTTTGGCAAAGTAAATTAAGACTTAAATAAAATTTATCAGATCTTGCCATGGTTGTCTTTCCCTTTTCAAATCTCTCTCTCTTTTTTTTTTTTTGCCCTTTCAGGCAAAAAAGGGAGCACCCAGATTCTAGAGTCCATGTTGACTGACATTGTCTCATTTCCCCTGCTTTTCCTATTAGTATCCATAATTTTTAATCTCAATGGGAAAAGAAGTAAGGCTATCCACTTAGGCAGGTACTTACCTTCAAGATGTTCTGTTTGAATTTCTTTACTACTCCTTGCTTTCTTTTTGTTTCGAAGTCTGATAGAACGATAATATATGGAATTTCTTCGAATAGGAATGTAACGTGTTTTTGATTCTTTCTCGGTCTTACTGTCAGATGCCTCAGAATCATCATCAGAGATCACGTCCAGGCTTGATATTGCCTGTGGAGGACTATCCTTCTGGATACCATTGGCTGATCTCCCACGGTGATGTCCTTGTACCTCTTCCAGTTTTTCTTTCTCCATAGCAACAATTTTTATTCTTTAATAACAAGGAAGCAAACGAGGAAGTTTTGTACATTCCATCAGATCTCTTAGCTTGAGAATTTAAAAAAAGAGAATACAATATATTTTTATATAAAGAATAAATTGTTGCTTGATAACAATTTAGAAATTGATATTCTTCTTAATTCTATACCCCTTTAAGATCATTAAACAGTTTGACACATTAATTGAAAGAAGGCTCATTCATAATACTTTCAAAACATTAATCTGGATATGATTCACAACTATCTTGATCCGACAATCTGCACTACTATGAACTGCATTTACATGGAAAAGTTATGTATTAACACTGCAATTTAGCTCGGACTTCAATAGAATTTATTTTTTTAAAATGGAAAACACTACGAATAATATTTTAAAATATTCAAACACAAGGTCCACGAGGAAACACATTTCTGATCTAGGATTATCTTTAACACTAAGCTAAAGAGAAGCTGGAAATAGATAAAAAAAATTAGGTAACCAGATTAAAATCTTAAACCAAAATTTTGTCTCCCAGAGTTGCTCTCTTATGCCATGTGCCTCTCTTCCTTCAGCAAAGTTAGGTGATATACAATATACTGGTACAATAAGTCAGCCTAAGCAATAGGGAAGTCTGTTTTGACTAGGGTTACCAGAAGTCCAGCAAAAGAGCGCATATCCTCCTTTTTATCCTTATGTCCTCTCTCCAATAGGCATAGTCTTAAAATCAAATATTGTCCAGGCTTTGGGTATCTCTTCATGAGCAGCTTTTCTTCACAACAGCACTTCTGTAATAAGGGCTAAGGCAAGTTAACAAGCTCCCTTTTGTGAACTTAATTAGATGATTTCTACCCTTCCTTTCCCAGCCTGTTCTGCTACCTGAAATTGACTAAACCTTAATCAGTTACTGTCTAAAGACTTTTGTCTCCTAACCCTCCAGCACATTCCTGCCATTAAAAAACCAGTCTTTCGGATGTTGGAAATATAATCTCATGTGCATATAGATCTAAGTACTTTTGGAGTAGTTTTGTACTGTAGTTTTTATCACAGATGCCAAGAAAGTTAAACAATGTGTCTTCGTCCCCCATCTCAGTTTGTCTTCAGATACCTGGTAACCCTACCTTTTTCTAGTTAACCAAAATCATTAGTAGCAATAATTGTAAAATCCCAATATCAAGGATTAAAGCCTTTACTTCCAGATGCAGTTAATATCTTTACAATATGCATTAACCATTAATGCCTTATTTATTAATTTTTTTGCCGTCCATCTCACAAGGTTATGCGTTAATATTAATACTTTCAGATGTTACATCAAATACTAATTGAATTAATTATAGTTAATTAATTGAGAATATGGTTTCAGATTGCAAATATATGGAGATGCTATTCCCTCCCCCCCATCCTCTCAGAACTCATAAGGTCCTTCCCGCTGCTATAGTGGAACTGCTTCTGGAAGCAGTGAGCTAAACACAATTTATCAAAGCACATCCTATGCCAAACCATAGTTAGCACAAACCGTAACTTCCAAACTCACTTCAAATTAAGGTTAATTTTGCTGCCTGATCACAAACCAAGGAGATTTTTATTATTTCATCTAATGTTTATAGGACTGTTACCATATTTATTAATACTTTGCAAATAAAAGTTTCATCTTTAGTGATACTTTGCCATATTTCCTCCCATTCTGGAGTCAAAAGAAATCATGCTGACCTAAATTGGGCTGACACTCCCCCACAATATACTTCCCTCAATGTATATCTCCCCTCAATGTATATATATCTCAATGTATATCTAGAATGAGACTATACTATGCCTGTCAGTCCTTAAGACAGATCAGACTAAGCAGTCAATGTTATATATATCTTGCAAATCTGAATGAACTTTCCTTCTCCCTCACTGAATCAGGGAGGTCTCCCTGAGCCTGTTTCGTTACCTTGGTAGCAGTAATTCCTCTTGTCTTTCAAGGCAATTCCCAAAAAACCTCAACAGAGATCACTCAGTTAAAATAAGATATTAAATGTTTAGAATAAATATAGAAAAAGAAGTCTAGATTATGCATCCCTTGCTTCAATGCTGAACATTTTCTTGAGAATGAATGCACAAAAAATATCAGTGGTATGATTTAACCATTAGTAAAACAAGGATGAAAACTTTTGAGTCTCTCTCTCTCTCTCTCTCTCTCTCTCTCTCTCTCTCTCTCTCTCTCTCTCTCTCTCTCTCTCTCTCTCTCTCTCTCAATTTCTTCAAATAAATAGTTAAAAGGCGGGGAGGGAGAGAGCCTCAAAATGCCAACTACCCCCAGCATTCAAAGACCTCTACAGTGTAGGCATTCCTCAACTTTCAATCATAATTTCTGTTGCAGCATCTCCACCTTCTTAAGTGAGTTTTGCCCCATTTTATGATCTTGCTTGCCACAGTTGTTAGGTGAATCACTGCAGTTGATAAGTTAGTTCAGAGGTAGTCAACCTTGGCTCTTTTATGACTCGTGGACTTCAACTCCCAGAATTCCTGAGCCAGCACCATTGTTAAATGAATCTTGTCTCCCCATTGGTCAGAAGGTTGCAAAAGGGGACCACCTGACCCCGGGACACTGCAAGAGTCATAAATATGGGTCAGTTGCCAAGCATCTGAATTTTGATTACAAGACCGTGGGGATGTTGCAACAGTCATATATGTGAAAAACGGTCACAAGTCACTTTTTTCAGTGCTGCTGTAACTTCAAATGGTCACTAAACAAGCTGTTGTAAGTTGAGGACTACCTGTATATTCAGCCTCAAGTGAATTATGCATGGTGGAAGGGAAGGTGAAGGAGAGAATTGGACTCTACTTGGTAGAACATTGATTGATTAGGTTTATATAGTTGCCCATCTCAAAAATGTGATTCTGGGTGGCAAATAAGTAAAATAACAATATGTGCTTAACTGTTTTTAATATTAAACAATTAAAGACAAATACACAAACAGTTAAAACACAAATGCAAATTTAAAAAACATGAAAAAAAACCAAACCAGTATCTTACATACAGTGTAACAATCCTATGGGATCCCCATTTCTCTGGAATTTTATGGATATTTCATTTATAAATAAATATTCTTTTATCCCAAGAGGAGTAGTTAGAAATATAATCTGGGTGGCCTTTTTCACTACTTATTGATAAGATTACTAAGGAATAAGTCAAGCTTGCCAACATTTTCAAAATCAGGCTCAGGCTCCTATTTATTTCATTATGATTTCCAGAGTAGCATAATATGCACTGTTTGTTTTGCTCTTCCCTCCCCCAAGATACACATTTGGTCCCTGAAACCCTAAAGAAATAATATTTGTACATTTGGTAATAAGATAGATATCAATTAGGAGCAACACTTCTATTCACACTGGCTCCACATGCCTCTCCATGAAAGTGGCTGTGTCAAAAAAGCTGCACTTTATGTGACTATTAACGATCCATGGTCTTTCCTGACTTGCACATAACCACAACACAAAGATGCCACAGAAACTACTTTTTTCTTGCATTCCATTGATCCCCAGCAAATACTTCAGGCAGTCCTAAGTCAAACATTGCTAGTCAGTTCTTACAATAATGTTTTCCCCTTAAATTAACAGCAGTTTTACCCTATATACAAGGTGATGTGCTTCACCAATCATTTCAGGCAGTACATTATGCTGGTATCCTTTATGCCACCTAAAGAACTAGTGAATAGGAAGAGCTCAGAATGTGACTTAATTCCAGGTAAGCCTATATTACAGCACAGAGATTTAAACAAGAAAACATCTATTCAAAGAATGTAGCAGATAGCCACAACTCCCACCTTCCTTTTTTTTCTAGCCAATGTAAAACTATATAAAATGTTTAGCTAAATTGTTCCTTGCAGTCCTATAAACACCTACTTAGATGTGAACCCACTTGAATTCAGGGAGGCTTTTGCTCAAGTAAGATGGCAGTAGAACTGCAATCTTCTTAAACTTGAATTAAAGAAAACAAATAGAATCAGATAACTTTTTCACAGCTTCTTAAAAAAATGATGTATCCTCAGTATCATGCTTTACCAAAAGTAGCTGGGCTTACTCATAAATTTCTTTATTATATTCCTAGCTCAAGCAAAGAACAAACTTCTGAGTTCTTGTATATAGCAATCCAAAATTTGAGGTGGGAGGCAAGTAGCTATGATTATTAAACTGTGGTTTAACTGTAATTTGACTTTTGACCTTAACTAGCAGCCCAACAAATAAAATGGATAACATGAGTATCAAGTGACCACATCCAAAAGAAGCCACTTAGAGGAGAAATAAAATAAAAAAACAAATAGAACCTGGTAGAAACAATATTAAGCAATTCAAATTAAGTTTACTGTTTTTGTTTTATTGAGAAGGGTTTTCCTAAAGCAAGGGTGTCAAACTGCCGGCCCATGGGCCGGACGCGTCACGACGAAACTGCGCCTACCCCATTGCCAGCAATGGAGAAAAAGCTCCGATACGTTGTGCAACGTCACGTGACATCGTGAGTTTGATATGTCTGTCCAAAAGGGTCAGACTTTGGCAGTTTCAGAAAATCCACAATACTCAATAGGATGCAAATATAGTCTCACAGCAAATTGCACAGGGAATGGGAAATTGGAGAGTGCATCAGTGTTATATTTTTCTAAAAGTTTTTTTGCCATTCTGACAGTTTGTGTCACTGACACATAAATTCTAAATGAATTCCCTGTAAAAATTATTTGATTTTGGAATAGCTAAGTTAGATGGACAGGAACAGCAGAGAGGGGCATTGTTAAGTACTTTACTTCAAAGTCTACTCAAGGGCTACATAACTGAAGAGGAGATTTTTACTGTTATTAAGTGGGGACTAGCTATAAACATTTTCAGATGTCCAAAGGTTAATAGAAAGTTTCTGTAAGCATGTGATCTGTTTCAAGGAATGAATGTTTGTCAAAAGAAATAAAAACAGCTATGTATAATCTTTTGCTTCTTCCCACTTTATTACATGGAAGTGTTAGGGGAAACTGAATGCAGAATTAGTTAAATTTATGGTTTGTGGTAAATGTTTAAAAATTGTGTGTAATAAAACAAGAAGA